CTACTACTACTACTACTACTACTACTACTACTACTACTACTACTACTACTACTACTACTACTACTACTACTACTACTGCTACTACTACTACTACTACTGCTACAATAAATTGGAAACCTTCCTACAGTAAAATTGTAGTCGTCTCATTGATATCACTGATTGTTATTTACCAAGTTTCACATGACATTTATTAATATATTTTCTACCAATTTTACGTATTTGTTTTGATTTTGTTATGTAAGTTTAAAACTATTCCGATCATAAAGATAACAGGGCATACAACTTTGAACAAGCATTGCTTTTGACTAAACATCTTGTTCACAATTTACGAGCGCAGAATGATAGAGCTTAGCCTGACTTTTCTAATTCAGCAATAGTTTGCTGATAAACTTGTTCTAAGATGTACAGTACAAGTTCATGATTTCCTTGATTGTCATCACATACTAATAAATTATTCAGTTTATCGATGTAAAAGATTATTTTAATGTGAGAACTTACCTTCCTTACTTGCCACTTTCAAATCTGTCAGGGAAGGTAAGCTGATGAGAGCACCCAAGAAATGCCAAAGAGTATGTTTCCATTATGAAAAAAAAGGAGGGTCGGTCTATCATGGAAATTTCGATTACACGCGCGATGAAAATTCATTGGATATACAGTGCCCAACTTTGCTATGATTTCGGGCCTTCTGCGTTAGTTAAATATAGAATAAAAATATTTAAAGAATTAGTAGAAAAGACCGAAGAGACTAATGAAAAAATTTTCGGGATTATGAAGCTTAGCAAACAAAATCTGGATGTACATAAACGCACAACAATTGATGATTTGTCAGATATTAAAACTATATTAATATAGTATTTTCCGATTTTTCTCCCTTCCCAAATTGTTTAATTTAGGTAAGGAACAAAATGGGCGGGTCCATTTCGCCGACAAAACTACCCGAAAAGGGAATTTGTCGGTGAGACGAACACCTCCCATCATGTTGATAAAGCGAATGATTACAACCAAATTGAATTTTTACTGTCACTCTGGTTTGCTTTATACATTAGTATAGTAATAGGCTGTTTGCATTTCTGAGGAGGTTTCTTTTATTCTAATGAGCGGAAATCGTTTACAAGGGCTCAAAAAAGAAAATATATTAACCAAAAATATATACAGAAGAAAGGATGGAACTAACAGAGAAACTAGTATCAAAATATTTAAACGTCATAGAAAGACAACAATGAAATACTAAAACTCTGGCAAATCCAAGTAGTAGATATTAAAATTTACTAACCGTAATCACTACATTTTATCATCTCCTGTAATTATTCAGCAAGCTGAATTATGTCCATCGGGAGAAGAAGGAATAAGTATATATATAAAAAATTGTTCTTTTATATTCAAACTATAAAGTACTTTTAACAAACAGTAAAAACTACACACATTCTCAATTTCTCTGATTATGATAATACCAGAACCCACTAATAAACTCTAAACACGAAGGGAAACATTGTCCAACCACTATGATATATTATACTTCAACCTTCTTTCCGTAATTCTGTTGAAATCGATTGATATCTCTCAACAATTCCTCACAAAGATCCAAAATACCAGCATCTTTCCCTTCACTATTGAGCATACCAACTATCGCTCCGGGCGACTCATTAGACGGTGTAACAACATCACCGCCTGGTTCCGAAGAACTAATTGATTCAGGTGATGTGGCATGTTCGCTTGGCGACGGAGTTGCCAATACAGAGGTCAGTGAGGATGAAATACTCGATGTGCTCACTGTTGACGTTGATGATAGCGTGGACGATGACGTCATTTGTACCATACTGTCCTTGCCAGAACTGATAGAATTCATCAAGGTTATAGTGGAGGTTTTTTTAATTGACTTTTTTGGGCGCGAATTGTCATCTTCATCCTCGCTGGGGGATAATGTACCATTTCGCCGAGCTTGATCTAGTTCAACCAGAGTTATCCATAACGCCATTTTCTTAGCTCTGTCAAGCATTTGGGAAACTGACAACGTATCCGAAGAAGATTTGTGAGCAGAACGTTTCTTATTCTTCTTATTGTCTGCATATTATCGAAAAGTCAATTTGTGAGGTGTTAAAGCAGATTCAGTACAAGAAATGCAAGTAATAAGCAAATCTATGATTAACGTATATAGACAGTTAACCAACACTCAGGAATATACGGCTTAGCACATACCTTTGCGTTCATGATACTCCTCTTCATGATGGTGCGCTTCTATTAAAGGCCTATCTAAGTTCTTCTCATAGACGTAAGGAGGCTTTTCCGTACTAGTTTCTCCATTCTTGCCAGCATCATTACTCATTTTGTATGCTGACTTTTCTCCATTCTTGTTATTTTGTGGTCTATCATTAATCTTCTCGTATGCTTTTTCATTATCTTGGTCCCTTTCTCCGTCGTTCTCCTTATTCATGTCCCTTTCTTTCAGCTCTTCCATGTCTTCGTTATTCATCTCTTCCGTTTTCTCATGCTCTTTATCCTCATTTTGACTCTCTTCTAACTCAATGTCATCAATTTCCATCGAATCTTCGATTTCCGATAGACTGTCACCTTCAGACGAGGCCGTGTGCCGAGATTTCTTCTTTACATGACTTTTACGGTTGCTCTTACCTACGTTTGATGTCACTTTGTCTTCATCACTTAGCGAGCTTAGTGACGGCTTACGTTTCGGTTTATGAGCAGCAGGACTTGTGGGGTCTGACGTTTTGGAATGTGATGACTTCGGGTGTAAGCCTTTAGACGTATTGCTTGGACGTCGCTGTGAAAGGTTGAAACGGGACGAGTTAGCTGAAGCTTCTTCAAGCTTTTTTGGACGTTGGTTTGAGCGTCGTTTCGTGCTCTTGTCGTCTTCTGTGTTATGAGAAGCATATTTGGTTTTGGATTTCTTATGACTTGTATTCTCGAGATACTCGACGTTGCTGTTTTTATCCAAAGCATAATTAAGTTACTATAAGTCGTTAAGAAAGTGAAAACCGGTGCGGAGTTGAAAGGCCCATAAAGTGGGTGGAGGGTATGTATACTCACGTTCGAAAGCCCATTTGTCTGTATAGATGTTTGACAGGAGAGCAACGTTCGCAATGGTATTCTTCCAAGCGTTCTGTGAAGCCAACACACTCAGTATGTTGCCAGACAAGACATTTGTCGCATTGCACCATTGCTTGGTCGTCATTTGCTAGAAAGGTGGGAAAGGTAGGTAAGAATGCGTAACAGAAGGTGGATATTGTGAGTGGAATGCGACTTGTATTTAAAGGAGAAAGCGAGCGGGGGAAAGCAACGCTTAAGTGTTAGTTGGATATAATATTTCTAGTGGGTTGTTCTTCTTACTTTTCTCTTTATCCTTCTCTCCTCTGCAGCCTGCATTCCATTCTTTCTCAGTTACTTACTAGTTACTCCGCAGACACAACGTACTTGGTCCTCTGGCTGGTCCATACGGGGTGTTTTCATGTTATGTGTGTTGGAATATGGTGTATGTGTTATAGGTAAAGTTGTGAGATGTAGACGGTAGCCAGAATGAGTATTGTAAGTAGAGAGTGACTGTTGATCCTGTGCTAATGCGTGGGTATGGCTTATTTAATGAAGATATTTGGTAATTCCTCGTTGGAAATGAAAATTGTTCGGGGAGAGAGGGGTGATGGATAGTTTGTGAAAGCGGGACTTTTTTTTTCATCACCACGACCGAGCCCATATTTAATATTAGTGCAACAAAACTAGACAAAGTGAATATTGGAACGCCACAAACGAAATTTGGGGGTCAAAACGCCACAGACACCCTATATTAATTATACATTTCAGGCAAACCTTATATTAGCAAAGGAAATAACTCCACATTAAATTGCTTTGACCTTATACAAGTTTGAATCTCCACCTTTTGAGCTCTCGTTACATACCAAAAGTCTTTGTTGCTCCACTCTACGTTAACTTTGCTTAGACCTGAAAATGTCTACTTTTTTCATATAAACTTTAAGATCTTCCCTCAGTTACCCTTGATTAACGCCAGTTTTCCTTCGTTTTAGAATGTGAATATAAAATGTCTTATGGCCGTAAAGGTGCTTTATTTGTAGTCTTTCATATTTTCTATTTTATATAGAGATGGTCAGTCTCGTATATATGTATATATGTTGTGATGTGAGTATCTTAACTTCGTTATTAATCATGCGCACTTGCTCTCGCAGTATTTCTTAACCTGCGTCGCCACAAGCCACGCGTCGTTCCCAATATTATTAATATATTGGTTTTAACAAGATGTATAAAAGACATGTTAATACGTTAAATAAATGACAGCTTTTTGCTCATCTAGATTGAACTCTTGTTAAACCCAGAACTCTTGTTACATAACCTGCAACTCTGTCAGTTATAAATCACTCCTTCGAGAGTCTTATTTTGCAAGTGCCAGATTCAATATTGAACCAAGTTCAAAGATCAACCCCGCATAATTTATTCAAGTGCGACGAAACTATTTTTAAATACATTTTCAGGAGCGAGAACAAACGACAAATTGAGCAAATACTAACTAAGCTAAAAAGAAAAGGAAAGATTCAAGCTAAACTGAAAATATTGAAAGAAAAGAATAAATATGAGAGATACGGAACGAATATTTCTACTGTGACCGAAAAACGACTCTACATCTTGTAAACTCGACACTCTTCCTCAGCCTCCTTAGCCACATTTCCAAATTGCGTAAACATTTCAATATTGGCTTGGGTAATCGCGTTCTCACCGATATATATCTCTTTCTGTTTCACCCTCTCCTTTACACCCATTCGCCTTTCCAAGTTTTTGAACGGGCATTTTCTTTTCCTATTCTCACACTGCCGTACCTCTTCAGCCTCGGCCTGCGTTGAGCATGGAAGAACGAAAGAGGGTAGCAGACACTGAAGAGGTTCTCTCTACAACTAAACAGCTATAACGATATGGCAACATAAGTTTTTTGTCATGTTGTCAAGCAATTAACTCCTATTCTGCGCTTTTAATAGCATCTGAAAACGCTTCATCTTGAAGATGCATCAAATTTGACAGTACTCAACCAAACTCCATCGGTCCTGATACGGTGAAACTCTAAATTTTAGTGAAGAGAACGGCCCAAACCTTACATTCTCGTGTCAAGGGTGAATGAAGCGTTCGATTCGGCCTCTGGCAAACCTTTTGCTAAGGAAAACTTTCGACGAGCGACAAGATGGCTTCATTTCCGGGGCCTAGTCGTGTCCGAACTCAGTGCAGGAAATGAGCCTACCTTGGCACAGCAAATTGTGCGATATCTCAAAAACGAAGTCCCTCACGGATTTCGTCTATGCATTCCTGATGGAAACACTGTCGTCCTGAAGGGAATACTTCTACTTGTCGCTATTGCATATCTTTATACAATTCGGGATGTCATTTTTTCCACGCGGAGAAAGCCAATCGAAATTATACTACCTACGCTATACAGCCGCATTCCTACTTCAATTTTATCCGTGGGAGAGTGTACCCACATGGATTGGCCAAAAACTGGGTAAAGCGGGCGGTCACAACACATACAACAATGGTTTCTCCTCCTGCAATAAAGAGACCAGAAGGTGCAGCTCCAAAAAGAAAACCTCGAGCAAATTATAAATCAATTAATGATGACTTACTAAAAGATTTGTTGTCCAATATAATGTAAGTTTGAGTCGTGATTCACTGCTTCACATTGCTTTTATTCGTTATTAAGTAATTTTTCTCTTCGTTTTACAGGAAAGAGCGTCTCCAAGAAGAGTATAGGAAGCTAGGGTCAAACCCCACACAAGAGAAACTGGAATTTTTCAAGAAAAAAAAAGCTGAGTCAAAAGTTCTTGCCTAGGGGCATTGTCAGAAGACTATTAAAAAAACTCAGAGAAAAAATAGACACAAGCAGCATGGACACACTTGGTTTAACAAGCCATCTCAGCAAAATTAAAGGTTTTGACAAGATGCAAGCATGGAGGAATGCAGTAGGGTTTCTCAAAAACCCTGTCATTATTTCCTTATCAGACTCTGAGATGGGCTCACATGAGCAAGGTAATGAAGATGAAGACAATAACTTTTGTACTGTTACAACCACCTTATGGCAGATTTTATGAGATAAACTCAATTTGGATGATATCGAACAGCAGTTGACTCTTGAACAAAAATACAACCACCAGGTGTTTGAAGCATTACATCTTATTATTCAAGAGTCACTAACTATAACATGGTAAGATTTTGTGATTATGGTGCAACATGGCTGCATAATTATTGTTATACTGACTTTCACCATCAACATCTATTAGTATTAGGTTATTTCAGGCAAAATTTACTCAATTATTGGTAATCCAGACAGTGAACATTGTAATTTGGCAAATGCTTTTCCTAAGGATTATGAATTTGGAGAGCATGCTTCCTTAGTCAGCATAACTCCAATCCTAAATCCCAGAGAATGTTTCTACCTTGATTGAAGCAGGCTTTTTTTCATTTAGTCATTTTGAGAACTTATATTATGGCTGCATTGGAAAAAAAAACACGAAAAGAATCTGAGTAAGTAATAATTTTCATCTTCTAGTTTTTAATATGTGGATATCATCACAAGCTAATACATATACATCATTTTCTATCCTATTAGAATCTTTGCACAGATTAGAAAAGAAATTAATTCAAGAAATTTAGTAGATCTCTCAGCCATTCCCAAACCAACAGAGAACCATGCAATCTGCCAAGCAACTTTAAAGGAGTTCTATACATCCACTGTAAATATATGGACAGGCACAATTTACAGCCACAGTTTACAGACTATTATCAAAACACTCCTTCATGTCCACCTCAACCCAAACAAAATGAAACCCCATCAAGCTAAGTGACAGGAAGCCAAGACCCATCATCAAGCTAAGAAACAGGAAGCCAAGGCAGAGCAGATAGAAGAATGAAGAAAATGACCCCAGAGCCAAAAGTACCAGAGATCAAGGCTCATGAACAAACTTGGTCTACCCATTATTAGCAAAAGACCATTATTTAATATCTCTATCAAGGTTCGTTTTGTATTTGGGATAACAAAACGCCTTGGAACCACCTAGCATTTTTATGAATATAACCATAAAGTCCACAAGTTTTACTTGTATATTCTTCTGTGCGAGCTACTACTCGACACCAGGAATCGCGCGCACCACATGCTGTTTAAAGCGACAATGTTATCATGTACACAGCTTCAGCAGTCTTGAAACCGATTCGTAGTTGCCCACATCCTTGAGTGCGAAATTCGGATAGTAATATTATACGATAATTTCAAGTAATAATTGATAATTTTGCTCGTAAAGTTTTTGTTTATTTTTCCTTCCATGAATACAATCACGTTTGCTTTGGGGCATATAAATTCGGTCAATATCGTTTTCTCCTATTTGACAGCCATTTCATTTTGGTTATGAACGTACGTACAAAGCAATTCTTATTAAGTTATGAAACACACAATTAATTAAATTTAACTAATTTATAATACATAAATAGAAATCTTTGAGATAAAAGGCGTTGGTTTTCGGCCTGTATCCAAGCGGTCTAGGTATATATTTACGGAGGCAATTTACAACAAGGCGACTATCATAATCAAGTTTTTTTTTTTTGAGTTTTGCTGACTTGATTGTAAGAAGATATGCATATTCACCACGAGATTTGCTCCAGTGTTTAGAGCTTTACCTTGCATTTTTTTTACGATTGGCAGCAAAGTTCGAAAAATATGCTTTAAGCAAGTCATTCATCACTTCAAAACCCCACGCAAGGTTAGTATCGTTGACATTCGTAGCATTGAGACATTGTGCGCGTAGGGTCTTCTTCAAGGTTGTATTGGCCGTTTGCGTCATATTCAAAGACTTTTATGCGTAAATAGAGTTTTTTGGTTTGTTGTGCGTGTATTGGATTTATTTTGCACATTGGCAGGTAATTTTGTTCTGATCCAGAGTTTGTGAGTTATATATATACAGTATATCGCGTAACGTCACCGGTTGTACTTGGGTCGGTTGAAGCATGACTAACGAGATGAGACGTGTGTTGAAGCCAAATCAGATAGATAAATATGATTAGAGGAGATTTAACAGTCTGTTAAACAATATCGAAAATTCAAGACAAGTTAATCGGTCAATTAATTAAGATGGGTTCATTAATATTTAATATTCGCATGTTTGGCGAACACGTCTATGATAGGTCATCATATTAGCACAAACGTGCGCAAAGCTCAATGCTATGAATGGCTTGCCATCTTGCGAGCTGTCAGAGTCCATGGGTGTTTATACTGAATTTAATCTATTGAAACCAGAAAGTCACTGCTTTTAAATTACACAAAAAATTTAAATCTCTTTCCATCCTAACGCTAACCTCTTCTCCTTTGGAAATTTTAAATTCGCAAAAACATTGCTAATATATAACACGAACGAAGGTATCTACCCAATGAAGAAAAAAATAAACGCTCAAGAAACAGAACAGGTAAGCATAACCCCGGAAGCTGATTCAGAAGGAATTTACGTTGAAGCAAATAAGTGTTTGCAGAAATATACACAGTTATTAGCTACCAGAAGACATAAATGCTATCATTTTTGAAATTGGCGAAAACTAAATTGCGATTATTATATAATTTCGATAACTATTTGAAAAAAATAGAAAAATACGGAGACGTTTGTGTTCAAAAAAGCTGCTAATAAGTAATTCAGCCTAAATTTTACTAGAAACGTTTAACAAATTTCATCTAATATTATTTGGGGACTAATCGACAGTAAAAATGAGCGAATATATTTGATATTGTCTTTAAACAAGAAGCCTATTATGTCATTCTCTTTGGTTTATTTCCTGAACGTCTTTACTATAACAAGGACGCAATATCCCTTAGCATTAGGTCTAAATTCAGAGCACGTAAAAACTGTCTCCTAAATCAGTTACTAAGGCTCTAAGTAGCGATTTCCATCATCCATTATTTACAGGATCACACATTACACATGCGAGCCACGCATGGGATGTGTTGGAAATATACCATTCTGTCAAGGAAAGCGTTTTCTATTTCTGTTGCGACTTTCCCCCGCAATTTGCTCTTATTATTATGATCTTTAGTATTGACAATACCATTGAAAACAAAAAATGGTCTCGGTCTCACCGATTCAAGCCATGAATTTCAAAAAGTAAATTTAAAAGGTTTTTTTTTTAAAAAACAAGAAAGACAATTATAAGCCCACTCAACAGATGGCTGCTATAAAAAATATGGGCTTACCTTTAGGGATTGGACGCCCAAGCCAATAAGTAAACTTACTAACTTGAAAACTAAGCCGCGTTTGCAGTTGATACGCAGATACATGGACTGTTCTCTTATCCGTAATATAGACGAGTTAATTATATTGAACAGTGAGTTTATACCGAATTTTAATTAAACGTGCAAAAAACCGTTACAACTATAGTCTGCCTTTTCTGCTCAATGCTTTTATAACAGTTAAATTTTCCAAGTTTAAAAAAAAAGGGGGGAAACAAGACAATCAAATCACATAACAGACTCCGTTATGATATTAATATAGCAAACTTCAATACAGGTTTAGAAAATTCTGTTTCTGTCCGGAAAAAACGTCTGTATAAGCCAAAATGAGTTATTATTATATCGACGGCCCGTTGCATTAACTTTCACTGTGTACCAGTTTTTGTCGATAGCTATGAATAAAGTCATAAAATTGCGCTGTTCAACTACTCCCAAATTTTATATTTTAAAAACTGACTATTGGCTCGGACCGCTTAGTCGCGACAACTTGTAAAGATTTTAAAAATCCAACGAAAAGATTCCTTTCATATGAGTGGTACTATAAACACGTAACATAAGCTACGTAATTATCAATAAGAATGCGTTTTGGTAGCATTCCTGTGAAGCAAGTGAAGAAATGAGACGACGTTCAAAACAAAAAAGACATTTTATTTAAAACAAATTCGTGGTTATGCGCAAAAGTCTTTCCGATATATGGATGCCTTAGTCCCAAGCAAGCTGGATATGCAGCAGTTAGACGGTATAGGCGAATCGTGTTATTCCTTCCAGTATTTTTGAACAATTGTAATACATATGATTCGGTACCCTTGATCACATGATTTATATGTAATGTGAATTTGGCACTTCTTTCTCGAATTTGTCGCGACTAAGCGGTCCGAGCCAATAGTACCCTGTGACAATATCTACAAAGTTAACGGTTAACTTTTTAAAATATAGTCTGTATTAGTACGAAATTTAAACTTGAGCTACCTTTATAGGATTAACAAAGCGAAACTCAAAAACATGTAAATGTTGGTCACAAATTTTGTTGGTGAAATTATTCAACATTCCAATGTCTTTCAGTCTAAATCTCACACAACTTTCTCCGATTATTAAACTTAATAACCAAACTCTATTGCTCGTTTATCATTAATTAACAATAAAGAGACAACAGTGAGTAGTTTCTTAGAGAAAAACGCCGCATATGACAAGAACCAAAGGTACAACTATAGAATGGTCTGTTACTGGGCTTAAGGTCCTATTCATTTCACGTTCCCGTTTCATATTCTGAATTTGGTTGACATCTAATAAAGTAATGAAAAGTGGGAACGAAATGGAGGTAACATCAGCTTTTTTAAAAAGACTGATGCGGCTTTGATATGTTTTATATGTTTAGACGCAAATATTGGATATTTGAAAATCTTACAAGTGATCATGGTTTGTTATGCACTTATTTTCAAAGCGTTTACTTGTTCCTGTCCCAAGCTAGGAGCGTTCGGATACTTATGCTTCCTTGTATAGAGTTTACATAATGATGCTTTTTTTTGTAAGCACGTGCATACGTTATGTCCGTTAATTACAGAATACAC